TGGGTGAATAGTGGTATGGTGGGAATGTTATTCTAAACCGCTTGCTTGACCTGCCATAAAAAAGGGGGGAGAGGAGGCCAGGTGCTGTTATCTTTATCTTAACACAGGCAACCAAGGCCAGGAGGTGTGAGAACCAGGGCAAGGCACGAAGAATTTCAAGCAGGAAAGGAAAGCTAGAAGGGGGGCAATTTGGGCTTAAAAGGACAAGGGTTTGCTTTGTAGAATTAGACTCAACAAACTATGGTGCTATACGCTTCTCCTGAATAAAGAAATCTTTGATGGAACTCTTTGGACTCCAGAGGATTTACTGAACTTTGGGATTGGGTGTGCAGACTCTGACATTTTGTTGAGTCTCCCCATTTTACGAGGGATTTACCCGGGGAACCAACCACCGTGGAAAACCCCCTCAAAAAACCTACCGCGGCTGCGGAGGAGTGCCCCATGCCCACAGCCGTAGGGGGGATCGAGGAGGAGATAGAAACCCTAACAGGTACCTACCCTAGCCTCCCGCCGCCACGGAAACCTGACCGGCACCTGGCGAAGTTGTGGAGCATGGACGAGCTGGCTGGGGGAATGTCATTCCTGGATGTGGCCCCCGAGAAACGCTGGGCTCTGACAACAGGGAGAGTCGAATCCATGCGGAGGGAAACCCTAGAGGATTGCGTACAACTCCTGCAATCTGAAAACACCCTAATAAAGAGAGAGCTGATGAGGATGAGTGAAATCGTTCGGCATTCAGGTCTGTACCAGAGTCCCGAAATAGAGGGGGAGGGTGAAGAAGAAGGGCTGGAGGAATCGCTATTAGCCCCCTCAACCACGCCCGCAACGGCAACCCCCGTAGCTCCGGCTGCACAGCGGCTTCCGGCCGTCCCAGTTGCGCCACCTGCGCCCGTCCCGGGGGTTCAACGAAGGGTCGCTCCAATCCAAGCCCAGCAAGATGCCCTCTTAAAGCGCTGGGGGTTGACCAAGAAGTTTAGCGGGGACCCAAGTGAAGTACCTAACTTCATGGCTCAAATCACCATATGCATGGAGCAGACGGGGCATTTATTCGCATCCGATCGGGAGCGCGTGCTCTACATCTGCAGAGCGTTTACCGGCAAAGCAGGGGAGTGGCTGATCCAACTTCAAGCAGCCCAAGCGCCCGAACTAAACCACCTTGGTCGATTCTTAACCGCTCTACGTAGAAGATTTGAGGACCCTGGGGTAGTCACCAGAGCCCGGGCGCAACTAGGCAAGGTGCGGCAGGGAACCCGCAGCCTCGGCGAGTACGCCTTGGAATTCCGCGGCATTGCGGGGTTGCTCCCTGATTGGCCAGAGCAGTTCAAAATCACCTGCTTCCAGCAAGGGATGCGCCGCGACCTGTGGAAGTTAGCGTTCGCCCGAGGAGACCCAAATACCCTAGATGGATGGATCCAACACGCTGGTAACATTGAAGCCCAGTGGAAAGCGGTAGACCCAGAATTCGAGCGGAAACCCGACACCCTGGCACCGGCACCCAGGAAGTTACCATCAAAAGGAGGAGACGAGAGATTTCCTAGAGCGGTCAAACGCGTTTGTTTCCACTGCGGTGAACCCGGCCACTTTGCGCCCTCCTGTCCTAAACCGCCGGCCGCATGGGCGGCGGAGCCGAAAAAACCCACCGGAGCACCCCAAAAACCTGGTACCAAAGGCAAGAGAGGAACCGTTGCGGCAGGAACGGAGTCGCTGTTCCCAGACCTCGTCATTTACGAAGAAGGATCGGTCAGAAAGGAACAGGAGGCAACCGTTGATTCCAACAAAACCCCTCACCAAACCGAGGCAGAAAGGGACGACGAGGAGGACGACGAGGATGAGGATGAGGCGATTCTCTTTCGAATGTGAGAACATTCGTTCTGGTGGAGGGCGGCATGTCAGGATCTACGCAAGCCAGAACCTTCAATTGTTTTTTTATTGCTTTTAGTTTTATTGCAAAGTATATATCAATGGGTGAATA